CCAAGGGTGGAATGGGCAGTGGAGGGCAAAGGGGGAAAAATTGGGACAACTTCAATAGAATAACAATAAAAACAGACTAAAAAAACCTACAATGAGACACCACCTCACACCCATTAGGATAGCAACTATTAGAAAATAAACAAACAGAAAACAGTAAGTGTTGGAGAGGATATGCAGAATATCAAAACCCTTGTGTGCTACTGGTGGGAATGTATTCTGCTGTGGTGGTGCCTCAAAAAATTAAAAATAGAATTACCATATAATCCAGCTATACCACTTCTGCATATATAGCCAAAAGATTCTAAAGTAGGTCCTGAAGTGATATTTGTATGTTCATGTTCATAGCAGCATTATTCACAATAGCTAAAACATAGAGCAACTTAAGTATCTACTGACAAACAAATGGATGAGCAAGGTATTGTAAGCACATACAATGGAATATATTAACCTTTAATAAGAAAGGAAATTCTGCAATCTACTACAACATGAATAAACCTTGAGGACATTGTACTAAGTGAAATAAGCCAGTCAAAAAAGAGAAATTCTGTGTAATTCCAGTATATAAGGTACTCGTAGTAGTTAAAATCATACAGAAAGTTGGATGGTGGCTGCTAGGGCTGGGGGGAAGGCAGCAATCAGGACTTATAGATGAGTAAGTATACAGTTTCAGTTTTACAAGAAGAAGAGTCTAAAGATGGATAGTGGCGTTGGTAGCACAACATTATGAATGTATTTAATTCCACCTAGTGTACACTTAAAATGCATGGGAGACTAAATTTTATGTTATGTCTGTTTTAACACACTAAATCAGAAGAAATGAATTACTTCTCCACTGTACGAGTCACCTTCAAGAAAGTGAAGACAGCCCACAGAATGAGAGAAAATGTTTGCATATCATATCTGATAGGGACTAGTACCCAGAAAATATTAAGGAGTCTTCCAACTCAACAAGAGAAGAACACCCAGCCCTGACTGGTGTGGCTCAGTGGGTTGGGTGCTGTCTCACAAACCAAAAGGTCACAGGTTGGATTCCTGGTCAGGGCACATGCCTGGATTGCAGGCCAGGTATCCCTGGCTCCAGTAAAGGTGTGTGAGAGGCAACAGATCATTGTTTCTCTCACACATTGATGTTTCTCTCCATCTCTTTCTCCCTCCCTTCCCCTCTCTCTAAAAATGAATAAATAAAATTTGTTTTAAAAAGACACCCAATTTTATAAGGGCAAAGGATGTAAATAGACATTTCTTTGAAGAAGATATAAATGACAAAAAAAGAATATGAAAAGGTGTGTAACATTGTTAATTACTAGGAAAGTGCAGATCAAAACTATGATGAGATACTACTTCATGCCCACTAGAATGGTTATTGTAAAAAAACACACATGTCCTGGCTGGGTGGCTCAGCTGGTTAGACATCCTCTTGCACACCTTTAAAAGGCTGAGGGTTTGATTCCTGGTTGGGGAACATACTGGGCTGGCCAAATATTTGTTTGATTGTTTTCCATAAGAGAGCTCTAGTAGTGCTTAGTTGTCTTTAACTTCATTCAAAACAATTTTGCTAGATTGTATTGTGACAGCTGTCATATCAGCATATATTTTAAAAAAAAACATCAAAATTGGTAAATTTTTGTGTAGCCATTTTAATACTGAAGATGGAAGAAAGTACTCAACATTTTCAGCATATTATACTTCATTATTTCAAGAAAGATAAAAGATCAAATGAAATGCAAAAAAAAAATGATGTGTGTGTGCAGTGTATGGAGAAAGTGCTATGACTGATCAGATATGTCAAAAGTGGTTTCTGAAGCTTTGTGCTGGAGATTTCTTGCTGGATGGTGCTCCTTGGTCGGGAAGACCAGTTGAAGTTGATAGCAATCAAATCAAGACATTAACTGAGAATGATTGATGTTATACAATGCAAGAGATAGCCAACATACTCAAAATATCCAAATCAATATAGTTATTGGTGAAAGTGAAAAATGTGTCTTTTGTTTTATGGAAGAAACATATGAGCCTTTTGGCCAACCCAATAACTAGGTTGTGGGTTCAGTCCCCAGTTGGGGCACATATGGAAGGCTCATGTTTCTCTCTCACATCAACATCTCTCTCTCCCCCTCTCAACCCCCTTCTGCTCACTCCCCTCTCTCTGAGATCAATAAAACATATCCTCAAGTGAGGATCCCCAGAAAATAGACAATAACAAATGTCAGAGATGACATGAAGAGACTGAAATCTTCATTCTATTGCTGGCAGAAGTGTAAAATTTGTGTAACTGCTTAGGAAATTGAGGTTAAACCTCCTTAAGAGGTTAAACCTAGAGTTATCATATGACTAAGCAATTTCACTCCTAAGTACCTACCCAAGAGAAATGAAAACATATGCCCAAGCAAAAACTTGTGTCCACAGCAGTATTATTCATAATAGCCCAAACTGCAAAACCACCAAAATATTCATCAACTGACGAATCAAAATATAAAACATGGTATATCCATACAAAAAGAACATTATTTGGCCAAAAGAAAAGAAGTACTGATACAATCTACCACATGGCTAATCCTTAAAAACCTCATGGCAAGTGAAATAAGCCAGTCACAGAAGATTACTACATGTAGGATTCCATGGCTATGAAGTGTCCAGAATAGACAAAATCATCAAGCTAGAAAATAGAGGAGAAGTGGCCATGAGCTGGGCAGAAGGGAGAATTGGGCGTAACTGCTAATAGACACCAAAGTTTTACTTAGGGGTGAGGAAATGTTCTAAAATTCACTTGGTGACAGTTGCGTAACTACTCTGAACACACTACAAATCACTGAGGTGGAACTTTAAATGGCAGGGTCATGATTATCTCTGAAGTAGGAGGATTTGTGATTGGTGGTGACATATGGTGACTTCTATAAAGATAAATCTGTGTATTACTTGATCAGGATTGTACTTACACAGATTTCTCTCTCAAATATATATAACATAAAATTACCGTTCTTTACCATTTTAAAGTGTGTAGTTCAGTGGCATTAAGTGTATTTGCATTACTGTGTAACCATCATCACCATCCACTTCCAGAACTTTTTCGTCCTCCCAAATTGAAACTCTGTCCTCACTAAACAGTACCATTCACCATCTTTTCCCCAACTCCTGGTAATCTCGATTTCAGTTTCTGTCTCTACTAGTTTGACTATTTAAAGAACTTCGTATAAATTAAATCATAACACATTTGTCCTTTTTCATGTGGCTGAGCTGTTCGAAGTAATTTACTGGAAATATATTTATATTTTCATTCATATTTTGTAATCATGTTATAACTCAAATTTAAATTTCAGGAAAGAAAAATGTAGGATGCAAATTGGAAAAATGCATAAACGTTTTTAGAGTTTCATTATGAAACGGGAAAAACTGGATGGTGACTGAGGAGTAACATGAGCTGAGACGGCTAGTTTTATAAAAATGGGACATTACAGCACATAATAAGATTGGATCCAGTGGATAAATAGCTGTTCAAGATGTAAAAGACAGAAGGGACAGTTGGAAAAGTGAAGTCCATGAGAAACTAAAAGGGAAGCAGTCCCCACACAAAAGTAAGAGAACTGGCCTTAGATTAGAGTATTGGACAATTTACCCACCAGAGTCAGAAGAAAATTTAGATACAGGTGGACTCACATGGTATCTACATGTGGAAATACTTCTGATTGATTTTCTTTTTCTCGGTGAAATATGAGGCAAGAAAACAATAGGAGAGTGGACTGAACAGCAAAATGCAGGAAGAGGGAGATACATTTTGAGACCATGAATATGCCATTTGTCACCATAGTTGTGGGTTTTTCTGGGGACATTTTCAGCCCTTCAGGGAAGGCATGAAGCAAGCACATACACACAACATACAACAGATGAGACCTCACAGACCTCCCTTACCTGGGAGTCATTCATGTGTTCAATAAGTAAGTTTATTGTACTTAATTGCATCTTGAACCCGAGCACAGAAATATGAACAAACGGAAGAGGGCAATGGACACGTGGAAGTCATTTTCTAACACAGGGGAGACTTTTAGGAGACCTAGTCTTCAACTGGCATAATCTTAGGATACCAGTATGTCAGGGCCATCCAGAGAAGAGTGTAGGCCTGGAGTTGCCAGCCAAGGTGCTCATGAAAATCACAAATAACAGGCTTCCCAGGTGGCATCTCCCACACATATTTTTGGACAGTGTCATAAACAGAACTTGAGAGACTGAATTTGGATTATGTTTAAAAACAGAGTATTGTCACTTGCCCCATTTGGGTCTATCTTGGGACACAGGGCAGCCAACCCCTGGCCTTATCCAAAGTCTGTCCTGAGAAATGTGCACATCACTACAATGCCTCACTGAGGGATCAAAAACACCCCAAGTTGTGATGTCCATGTGTTACAGAGCACGAGTTTGAGAAGAGGGGAAATGGCCAATGGAGTGTGCCCACCAATAATCACCAAGCCCCCTGGTCTGGAACATTAGGAGTTAACTGAGCAACGGACACAGGACGGGTGGGGGTGGGGTGTTCTGTGTGGCACAGTTGAGAAGGCATGGAGGTTTTGTGTTCCCTCTCGAGCTACAACCTTGCATTTTAGTTTGCAGTCTGTCCTTCTTCGTGACTGCATCACCACATGTCAAAAAGACTTCAGCCAACAATCTCTGAAGCTAATGCTGCAGAAGGGAGTCACAGAAAGAGGACACTATCTGAAGGACAACAGAGAGATCCCAGAGACTAGAAAGGACACAGCCAGAGGTAGGTGGCAGCTCTCAGAAGTCGGTAGTAGCCACCACCCTTTATGCAGCCAGCATACAACTGGAGCTAATACCTGTGACTGGGGGTCTGCACGGCAAGGAGAGCTGGTGCTGATGGACACAGGCCCTGCATCAGCCACTGATTCACGAGGACCACGTCAGTGGCCACCTCTGTGAGAGACCCTGCCTCTTCTTTGCCTTCTCTAAGGAAGAAGCAGGTGGTTCTGTGTGACACTAGCAGAGTGCTTCAGATTCAGGCTCCCCAGATGAAGGGCTTGAGGCTGGTACTGGTGCCAGGATCTTCACGTGTCACTTTGGGCATCATGCTGGTGTTGGTACTGAGTTTCCTGCCCAGCTTCTACTGTGCCCTGGGATCAGCACGTTACTCTTCCTATGAAATAGTCACCCCTGGGGCTCTGACAGTTGAGGGAAGGGAAGACCCAGTGGGAAAGGTATCTTATGTGATATCTGTGCAGGGCCAGAAACTGCTGATCCACCTGAAGGTGAAGAGAGACCATTTTGTCCATAACTTTCCAGTCTTCAGCTACCACAATGGCATCCTGGGACAAGAAAGGCCTTTCATCTCACGTGACTGTCACTATGAAGGCTACATAGAAGGAGTCCCGGGGTCTTTTGTTTCTGTCAACACCTGTTCAGGCCTCAGGGGCATCCTGATTAAGGAGGGACAGCCCTATGGCATTGAGCCCATGGACTCTTCAAAACGGTTTGCACACGTGCTGTACACCATGGCACATCAAGCTCGAGTCTCCTGCAGCGTCACTTCCAAAGAAAGCCCAGTGGGGTCCACCAGCAGGCCACCAGGGAGCAGGAAGCCTGGTGGTCTACAGGCACTGTCCTACTTGTGGTCACACGCCAAGTACGTGGAGATGTTTGTTGTGGTCAACAACCAGCGGTTCCAAATGTGGGGCAGTAACGTCAGTGAGACAGTCCAGAGAGTGATGGACATCATTGCCCTGGCCAACAGCTTCACTAGGGGAATAAACACAGAGGTGGTGCTGGCTGGGATGGAGATTTGGACCGAGGGCGACCCCATAGAGGTCCCAGCGGACCTGCAAGTGGCACTCAGGAATTTCAACAGCTGGAGACAGGAGAAGCTCCTCCATCGTGTGAAGCATGACGTTGCCCACATGATTGTTGGACAGCATCCTGAACAGGGCATGGGGCAGGCATTTCTCAATGGTGCCTGTTCCACAGGCTTTGCAGCAGCTGTGGAATCCTTCCATCATGAAGATGTCCTCCTGTTTGCAGCGCTCATGGTCCACGAGCTTGGGCACAACTTGGGGATTCAGCACGACCACTCGGCCTGCACTTGTCAAGATAAACGCCTCTGCCTCATGTATGAAGATATCACTAAAGAAAGTGGCTTCAGCAACTGCAGCTCTGACTACTTCTACCGGTTCCTGCAGGAACACAGAGGGGCCTGCCTATTTAACAACCCTCAGCACAAAGGCCGCTTGCGGAGGGATTCCACCTGTGGAAATGGGGTGGTGGAGGGCGAGGAGCAGTGTGACTGTGGTAGTGATTGTCTGCATAACCTATGCTGCGACCGAACATGTCACCTGAAGGATAATGCAGTGTGTAGCTCTGGACCTTGTTGTAATCAGTTATGTCAATATGCAGCAAAGGGAACAGCATGCCGTCCTGCTCTGGGAGAATGCGACCTCCCAGAGTACTGTAGAGGTACCTCTGGGGAATGTCCCCCAAATAGCTACAAGCAAAATGGCACTCCATGTGGTGCAAATTACTGTGTTGACGGTATGTGTGGCAACCCTGATCATCAATGCCAACAGATTTTTGGGTCCTCTGCATTGTCTGCCCCACGACAGTGTTATGAGTTGGTAAACAGCAAAGGGGATAGGTTTGGAAACTGTGGCCATCCCACTTCTGGTAATCCAGCATATGTTCAGTGTAGAGATGAGAATATATTCTGTGGGAAAATTTTATGTACAGAGGTTGACAGACTACCAAAACTCCTACCCCTTCACACAGTAATCCAGATTTCTCATGGAGGTAAGTTCTGCTGGGGCATGGATGCCTATAACATTACTGATATCCCTGATGATGGGGATGTGCACCCTGGCATTTCTTGCGCCCAAAATAAAGTCTGCATGAATTACTCCTGCACTGATCATGCTGTGCTGAACTATGACTGCGATCCAGCGAGAATGTGTAGTGGGAGAGGGGTCTGTAACAACTTAAAGCACTGCCATTGTGAGGCCGGCTATGCCCCTCCTGACTGTAAAAGCATAGGTAATGGGGGTAGTGTGGACAGTGGTCCCCCTGGTGAGCCAAGTACAGAAAACCCAGGATTTCATGAAACTAGCCGTCCTGTCAAACATGAAAAAATCTTAGATAGGATGATATTATTATTCTTTTTACTTTTCCTCATAATATTAGCAGTTGCAATTATTTGCATGTGTATCACGTGTAAACGTGCCAAAGAAAAGACAGAAGAGGTAAAAGAAAAGACAGAAGAGGTAAAAGAAAAGGCAGAAGAGGTAAAAGAAAAGGCAGAAGAGGCAAAAGAAAAGCCCCCAGAAGGGCCACCTAACCTACAACAGGCAGCAATAAAAGAGGAGGAAGCGAAAGAAGCGGAAGCAGCAGCAGAAGAGGAAGAAGAGGAGGAAGAGGGGGAAGAGGGGGAAGAGGGGGAAGTGGGGGAAGAGGAGGAAGAGGAGGAAGAAGGACCATAAAACAAGCAGTGGGAGGAAGAAGCCAAATATATGAAACACCTCGAACACAGAGCGGGTACTAGAGGCTTAGTGACATGAAGACCTTCTTTGAATTGATAGCTCCAGTGACTCTGACCAGGGTTATACAGTCTACAAAAATATACTGATGTGAAATGAGGGACTCTCTCCCTTTTATTATCCCTTTTAGTAATTAAGATTTTATTTATTTAATATAGTGAATATTTTACTACTTTTGCTTTTTCACATTTTATTTGAACTCATCACATGCATCTCTGACATCAATGTCTTTGTCTTGGGCAAATTTTTGCATTCACCAGAAACTTTTTCAAGAGATGCCATCTTTCATTTAAGTTGTTTGACATGCACTACCATGTGTGCCTACATTTATTACTGTCACTTGGATTTTTATTTCAATAACAACTACCTATTATGTGAGGTCAGTTGTTCATGTGGTTGACTATTCTAATTTGCCCTGTAAATGTGCATTCATGAGTTTTTAAATCCAAAAATAAATAAAATCCTCTTCGAATCAGATATCTTTCCTGGTTCCATGTGGTATAGTTTTTGAGCCCATTTTGTCTTGGAACTCTGTGCAAGGCACTATATCTGATAGAGCAGATGACCCTGACTGCACCAGGGTTAAGCGGTCAGTAAAGTCATCCACCTTTGCACATGTGGCAGATGTATAACATGATTTATGTATATTCAAGTTATTAGTTCCCAGTATTTCCAGTCCCTTCCTATAGCCATACTCCATTTTTACCTAAAAGATTTTTCTTTTAGAGAAACTTTCATAGCTCTTCCTCTTACTAATCTTCCTGAGATGAATTTCAGTAATACAGGTATCTCATGTTTGAGTAACATTATCTTGAGTTAGGAAACTAAGTTTATACTAATTGTATAATAGTACAGAAGCCTTATCACAGTGCTGAGTACATGTATGAAGCTAAAACTTTATATTTTCTATTTTTTAAATTTACTGAAATTAATAATTTGTTGACTAATATCAGAAGGAACTTCTCCAATTATAGGTAACAAGAGCTTTGGAGGTTGTAGATACTTCTCTGTGAAGAGAGCCCAAAGCAACTACACTATTAACATTATTCATTACATGCCCAAAAATGTGTTAAACACTTTACATTCATCATCTTAATTTAATCCTCCCAACTGGCCTATGAAACAAACCTCCATCGGAAAAGAGACCAAGGAGAAGTTGCTTTAAAGATAGTTAAGTCATAGAGTCTGTATGTCTCCTGAGGCATGACTCAATCTCCATTGTCCACTATGTTATGAGCCTTTTCCTTGAGTAAAAAGTGATGAGGAAGACACCAATGTGTCCTTAGTTGACCACTATTACCAATCCTCAAATTGTAGTTATTATTGATTAAAAATGTCTTTTTTTTTACTATACACTGACATCATGGACTGGCATGTTGCCATCTTATTCAGTACTGTGGTCTCGGCACATAGTAGATGCTTAATAAATATTTGCCAAGTGAATGATTTAACCAGACCTAGTCTTGAAATACAGGGCCAGATTCATTCCCTGGGGAGATGCTTCTTGCCACTCCCTGGAACCACCAAAATCTTGCTCAGATGCGATGATGCTAAATATTCATTAACAGTCAAGTAAGTCACAAAAAGTTTATAAAACTTCAAACTCCAGCAAATGAAGGCTGAATCCCATTAAGACAGACTATGGTAAGGGAGAGGCCAGTTTCAACGTGGACAGGAATGAGCAGGTATAACTCAGCATGTTAAATCTCCACGTTCAATGGACAGCATTTCCTATAAAGTGTTTCCTATAAAATCCTCCTCCAAAGCTCAGCTAACAGCAGTTTGCTCTGCATTGTGTATGACTGTCTCTAGGAAGTATACCATTTCAGCTGATTTCTCTTCCCCATTATATTTGAGAGGTTCTGAAGAACGCTGACACCTTCCAATAATCAGTGTTGGTTGTCACTAGTGACCCAGTCAGCTGCTCCCTCCAAAACTCTGACGGTGATTTATTGCTACCTTTTACCTGCCTTCCCTGGATGGTTACTGTCCTTCCTCTGCTACCTCAGGCCAGCAGAGACCCAGTCCCTTCCCTTAGTTCCTCAAAGCACAGCTAAATCCAGGCTGTGGATTTTTATCCAGATTTAGAGGAAACGAAGGAATATTATAATGCGGAAAATAACACATTGGCATGTTGCCCATATTAATGTTCCTGGAGTTCAGGGACATGGCATGCTCCGCTGGGGCATTTGTTGTGGGGATTTGGATAGGCCATCTCTCTCCTTTGACCTGACCTGACATACTTTCTTGTTTCTGTAGGAATGCTTTTGGGAATATTCTCATAGCATGGAACCAGACTCCACTCTATTCTCTGTGGCCCAGTGAAAGAGAAAAATTTAAAAATAATAATAATTTACCAAAACCCCAGAATACATCATCATAACCTCAGATGGATGTAAACATGCCCTCAATGAAGGCAAAGCATTACATTAGTTTGACAAAAATTTATCTTCTGGTATATCCAAAGCTAATTTTTTTCTTTCTTCCTTTTTTTAAATCCTCACCCAAGAACATGTTCATTGATTTGAGAGAGAGAGAAGAGAGAGATATATAGAGAGAAATATCTATTGAGTACCTTCAACAAATACCGAACTGGCAATCAAACCCACAACCTTTTGGTGTATGAGATGGTGCCCCAACCAATTGAGCCACTTAGCTAGGTGAAGTTAATTTTTTAAAGCTTACTCTTTTATTTTTTATATTTATTGATATAATTTTTAAATTTTTATTTTATTTTACATATTTTATTGATTATGCTATTACAGTTGTCCCATTTTTCCTCCCCTTTATTCCCCTCCACCTTGCACCCTCCTCCCACCAGCATCCCGCCCCTCCTTTAGTTCATGGCCATGGGTTGCACATATAAGTTCTTTGGCTTCTCCATTTCCTATATTATTCTTAACCTCCCCCTATTTTGTACCTATCATTTATGCTTCTTATTCCCTGTACATTTCCCCCCATTCTTCCTTCTCCCCTACCTGATGATAACCTTCGTGATCTCCATTTCTGTGATTCTGTTCCTTTTCTAGTTGTTTGCTTAGTGTGTTTTTGCTTTGTTTTAGGTTCAGTTGTTGATAGTTGTCAGTTTGTTGCCATTTTACTATTCATAGTTTGATCTACTTTTTCTTAGATCTAAGTTTAAACATTTCATGTAATAAGGGTGATGATAAACTCCTTTAACTTGATCTTAACTGGGAGGCACTTCATCTGCCCTTCCATTCTAGATGAAAGCTTTTCTGGACAGAGTAATGTTGAATATAGGCCCTTGCTTTTCATGACTTTGAATACTTCTCTCCAGCTACTTCTTGCCCTTAAGGTTTGAGAAGTCAGCTGATAGTCTTATGGGAACTTCTTTGTAAGTAACTGTCTCCTTTTCTCTTGATGCTTTTAAGATTCTCTGCTTATCTTTAATCTCAGGTAATGTAGTTATGATATGCCTTGGTGTGTGCTTCCTTGGGTCCAACTTCTTTGGGACTCTGAGCTTCCTGGACTTCCTCGAAGTCTATTTCCTTTGCCAGATTGGGGAAATTCTCCTTTATTATTTGTTCAAATAAGTGTTCCACTGGTGGCTGTGCCTTTCCCCCTTCTGGTACCCCTATAATTCAGATGTTGGAGCATTTAAAGATGTCCTGGAGGTTCCTAAGTCTCTGTGTATTTTTTTGAATTCTTGTTTCTTCATTCTGTTCTGGTTGAATGTTTATTTCTTCCTTCTGCTCCACATTATTGATTTGAGTCCAAGTTCTCTTCCCTTCATGGTTGGTTCCCTGTATATTTTGCTTTATTTCATTTTGCATAGCCTTCACTTCTTCCTCTATTTTGCTACCATTATTCAGCCATTTGTGTGAGCATTCTGATTATCAGTGTTTTGAACTCTGCACCTGATAGGTTGCCTATCTCTTCATTGCTTAGTTCTCTATTTTTGGAGCTTTGATCTGTTCTTTCATTTGGGCCATTTTTTTTCTCAGCATGCCTGTTACAGAATAAGGAGCTGAACCTTAGGTATTCACCAGGGCAACCCACATCACTGCCCTGTTGCATGTGGGGGAGGAGTCCAAAAAGGAAAAATGCCATTTGTTGGGCTCTCAACCAGCTTTCAGTCACTTTCCCCACTTCCCACAAGCAAATTGGGCACTTCTGGTGCTGATTCCCAAGTGTGTGGGCTTGCGTATATTCTGAGACCCTGTGGATCTCTCCAACAAACTCTCCTGTGAGGCTGGGAGTCTCTCCCGCCATCACAATTCCCACAGGTTTTTATAGCCAGAGGCTTTGAAGCTTTATTTCCCAGTGTTGGAACCCTGGGTTATGCGGTCTGTCTTGCTCCCCAGTTGTTTCTCCCGGTTTAACCTCACACAAATGTGGGACCACGAGGTCCACCAGCCACCACCTCTCCAGCTCAGTCCTCCAGCTGCTGCCTTGCTGCATTTCACTCCGCCCCAGCTGCCCATCTCTGCCTCTCCTACCAGTCTGGATAAATGTTTCTTCTTTAACTCCTTCATTGTTGGAGTTCCAGGCAGTTCGATTTTCTGGCAGTTCTGGTTGTTTTTGTTTTTAAATTTGTTGTTGTCCTTCTTTTGGTTGTGAGAGGAGGCAAAGTGTATCTACCTATGCTTCCATCTTGGCTGGAAGTCTTCTATTTTTTATTTTTATTGAATATAATTGACATATTAATTTCAGGTATATGACATAATGATTTATATTTGTATATTTTGTGAATGACCACAGTAAGTTTAGTTAACATCCATCACCACACAGTTAAAATTTTTATCTTATGATGAGAGCTTTTAAAATCTTTTCTCTTAGCAACTTTCAAATGTACAATATTATTAACCATTGTCACCATGCTGTACATTATATCCCCAGGACTTATGTATTTTATAACTGGAAGTTTGTACCTTTTGACTACATTCACCCATTTCCCCCAACTCTGGCAACCCCTAGTTTGTTCTCCTGTGAGTTCATTTTTTGTTTGTTTTAGATTCTATGCACAAGTGAGATCATATGGTACTTGTCTTTTTCCATGTGACTTATTTTACTTAGAACAATGCCCTTAAGGTTCACTCATATAGTGGCAAATGGCAAGATTTCCTTTATTTGTGGCTAAAGATGGTCCATTGCATGCATAGATGTATATACATATGTGTGTATGTATAGTATATGTAGTCCATTGTATATACATTGGTATCTATCATGTTTTCTTATCCACTCATATATTGATGGACACCTACATTACTTCCATGTCTTGGTTATTGTAAATGATGCTGCAATGAACCTGGGGGTGCAGATGTCTTATCAAGTTAGTGTTTTTGTTTCCTTTGGGTAAATACCCTGAAGTAGAATTGCTGGATCACATGGTAATTCTGTTTTTAATTTTTTGAGGAACTTCCATACTGTTTTCCATAGTAGCTATACTGATCTATATTCCCACCAACAGTGCACAAGAGTTTCCTTTTCCCCACACATCCTTAACAACACTTGTTATTTCTTGTCTTTTTGACAACAGCCATTCTAACAGGTATGAGGTGACATCTCATTATCATTTTCATTTGCATTTCTCTGATGGTTAGTGGTGTTGAGCACCTTTTCATGTACCTCTTGGCCATGTATGTCTTCTCTGGGAAAATGTCTATCCAGAGCCACTGCCCATTTTTTATTTAGAAATTTTCTGTGCTTTTGCATTGTATGAGTTCTTCATATATTTTAGACATTAACCCCTTTTTCAGACATATGATTGGCAAATATTTTCTCCTACTCATAGGTTGCCTTTCCATTGTGTTGATGGTTTCTTTTGCTTTTTAGTTTGATATAGTTATACTTATTTATTTTTGCTTTTGTTGCCTTTGTCTTTGGTGTCAAATCCAAAAAATATATCCTAAGACTGATGTCAAGGAGCTTACCACCTATATGTTCCTCTAAAGGTTTTATGGTCTTACATAAAAGTCTTTAATTTGTTGTGAGTTAATTTTGTGTATGGTATAGGATAGTGGTCCCATGTCATTCTTTTGCATGTAGCTGTCCAATTTTCCCAACACTATTTATTGAAGAGACTGTCCTTCCTCTATTGTATATTCTTGAATCTTTTGTTGTGAATTAATTGTTCATATATGTGTGGGTTTATTTTATTTCTGGGTTCTCTGTCCTGTTCCATTGACCTATGCGTCTGTTTTTATGCGAATACCATACCACTTTGATTATATGGCCTTGTAATATAGTTGGAAACCAGAAAATGATGCTTCCAGCTTTGTTCTTTCTTGAGGTTCCTTTGGCTGCCTGGGGTCTTTTGAGCTTCCACATATATTTCAGGATTGTTTGTTGTTATTTCTGTGAAAATGCCATTAGAATTTTGATACAGTTTACATTAAATCTACAGATTGTTAGGGTATTATGACCATTTTAACAATATTAATTCTTCCAAACCATGAGTATGAAATATCATTTACTTGGGTCTTCTTCAATTTATTTCTATAATGTCTTATAGTTTTCAGTGCACAGGTCTTTTACCTCCTTGGTTAATTTTATTCCTAGATATTTTATTCCTTTTAATGCAATCAAAAATGGAATTGTTTTCTTAATTTCTCTTTCTGATATTTATGTACATATTTTTAGGTAGACATAAATTTTGATTTCTCTGGGATAACTATCCATAAGTGTAACTGCTGAGTCTTGTGATATTTGTTTAGTTTTTGGAGAAACTGCTTGTTTTCCAGGGTTGCTATATAAATTTTACATTCTCTTAACCAATGTATGAAAGATCCAGTTTCTCTGTATCATCACCTCTATATTTTCAGTTTCAGCTGTTGTACTGGTCTGTAGTGATCTCTCATGGAGTCTTTTTTTACTCCTTTAACTGTGCAACCTTCTTACTGAAGAAGGTTGTAGTCCCTCTGCCTGTAGTCTATGGGCAGGGCCAGGCAATGTTTCAGGGCCACAGTTTGCTCTGGCATGAGGGACTCTGAGAATCTCGTGGTGTCTTAATTTGCATTTTTCTAATATCTGCTAATGTTGAACATCTTTTCATGTGCTTATTTGCCAGCTATATCCTCTTCAGTGAACTGCCTTATGTCTTTTGCCTATTTTCTAATTGGATCATTTGCTTTGATATTGTTGAGTAGTGAGAGTTCTTTATATATTCTAAATATGAATCTTTTATCAGATAAATGGTGTACAAATATTTTCTCTCCATCTTCAGCTTGTCTTTTCATCCTAACAAAGTCATTCACAAAGCAGGAATTTTTTTTTAAGTTTTTCTTTTTTAAATATTTTTTATTTAGTTATTTTTCAAGAGAGGGGAAGGGAAGGAGAAAGAGTGGGAGAGAAACATCAGTGTGTGGTTGCCTCTCATGCATCCCCTGCTGGGAACTGGCCTGCAACCCAGACATGTGCCCTGACTGGGAATCGAACCGCGATACTCTGGTTTGCAGGCCCGCGCTCAATCCACTGAGCTACGCCAGCCAGGATATAAAGCAGGAATTTTTATTTTGAAATCCAGTTGATGGATTTCTCCTATGAAATAAAATGGTCTAGGGTAAGATTTGAAGTGATTTTTTTCCCAGGACTCCCCAGATGGGATGCTTGAGAATGGGCCCTTCCCATACAAATCTGTATATCATCTTACTGCTGGTAGTCACTATATTTCAAGGGATGCACTATAACTGGGAATATCTTTATTATTAAGATAGTCATCCCTAGGAACCTAAAAATGTTCAGAGAACTGAAAGTAAAAACAGAAAACATGGCCTCCATACAAGGAAAATATTATTAATCTGAAGCAAAAGAAAGGATTATTTGTCAACTTCCCTGTTTATATACTTCATAATGGAAAAATGGGCTTGGACAGATCTTTTATTTAGGATGACTGGGTATTCAGCAGGTGATCTGGATTTTCTTGTGACTATCAGCACTCAGGGCTAAAAAGAGTCCTGACCTTACATGGCACTCTTTCCCATCAAGCCTATACTTCAAAGAATTTTGAGCATACGATTTATAGCCTATCTTTAAAATCAGGTGAGTCATGTGCAGTCAGTGGAGATTAACAGGATGAGCTCTTAACCATTTTACCAATTCAGAGCAGAATAAAACTCTCTTCAGTGTGGACACTTCCCAAGTATGCAGAAATGTTTATTGTTGTTGACAATAAGTGATTCCAAATAATAGTGTTACCAAGACAACATGATTATAATAGATGCCTATGCTTCGGTCAACAGGTACACGAAAGAGCTAAATGTGAAAGTAGACAGAGAAAAACCTAGTGAAAATCTCTCTACATTTTCCTATGTAGGCAATACTTCAAAAAATTTTTACTATGGGGGAGACTCACATCTTTTGAGAAGGGTAAAGCATAATGCTGCTCATATGATTATTGGCCAAAGTCTTGAAAAGTACCAGGGCCATGCATTTCCTCAGTAGTATCTGCACTGCTAAGATTGCAACCAATCTTGACACTTTCTTCATGAAGATATACTGCATTCTGCAGCTCTCATGGCTCATGAGCTTGACCATAACTTGAGAATGAAGCATGACCATGTGGCCTGCAAATGCTATGGTCAGACCTCTGTACTATACATGAACTTACTACTGTAGACAAGGGATTCAGTAGCTACAGCTTCCACTTTCGAGAAGGGAATGCCTGTTTCATAAACCTTAGCTCCAAAGCTCCTTTAGAAAGTCATAGAGTGGGAAGGAGAGGGTGGATGAAGAAGAATATGATTATGGCAGTGTCCTTGATTGTCCAAAGGATCAGTGTGGTCTGTTCTCACGACAGCTGAAGGGTTTGTGTTCTGCATTTGGATTCTGCTGCAAAAACAGCAGATTTCTTAAGGCAACTACACCTTGCCCCTTCAGTGTAGATAAGTGTGACCTCCAAGAACACTGTAATGGTACACGCCTTCATTACCTATAATCAATATGGCGCCCATAGTAAATAACAAGTTATTGTTACCAGAACCAGTGGCAAAGCCTAAAGAATCAATGCATTAAAATCTTTGGAAAGGGCACAAAGATTGCCTGGGAAAGTTACTGTCATTACATGAATACCAAGAGAAACAGGTGTGAACACTGTGACAGTGAATATAAAGGGATTTTTAAGTTCTTCAGCAAGTGTAAGACCAAAAGATATAAAATGTAGGAAGCTACCAAGTGAAAACAACCAAAGGCTCCCGCACATTGAAAAACACCCAGTTCCCCATGCAGGCCACATGGTGTTGAGGTGCTGTGTTTTTTTAAACCACAGATAGGGCTAATGAAAAGTTGAGGGATGATATCTATCCCATGTGATCCACAGAAGATCTGTATATTTTCTTACCTGCTAAGATACTCCTATACCTCACTATGACTGCAACCTGAACTAGTGTCATGGGAGGGGTGTTTGCAACAATTAGAACTGCCACCATGTCTATTCTAAGTCTATGCTCCTCCTCCATGTGAATTCAAGGGTTATGGAGAACAGTGTAAATAGTGGCCTGACTTCATGTGTCCCCTCTGACTCAGAATGATGAAATATTGATCATCCTAATCCAGGTCTTATTTAACCTTTTATTATGTCTCATTCCTACTATATTTTCATTTGCCTACATCCACAGAAGATCTAAGACCAGTATCAATGCAAAAAATTCAACATAAAAGCAAGATGAACAAACTTGACAAATATTTGGTAATTACCTTCTTTCTGGTAATGAAACCAAAAGTGAAGTAATACTAAAAAGTCATTTTCAGAACTAGACTCCTTAGTTCTAGTGTCCTTCATGGTCTTCGGAGATGGGAATTCTCTCTTGCTTCCATTTGTCTTTCTACATGCCATGCTTGTTAGCTTTCAAATTAAAAGAAGTTACCCTAAGAATCCTGAAACACCAATTCAAAAGAACCTATGTATCCCAATGTTCATAGAAGCACAATTTACAAATAGTCAAGTGCCGAGAAGCAACCTAAGTGTCTACCAGTAAATAAGTGGATCAAAAAATTATGGTACACTTATACAATGGAATATCACGCAGCAGAAAGAAAGAAGGAGCTCCTACACTTTCTGACAGCATGGATGGAACTGGAGAGCATCATGCTAAGTAAAATAAGCCAGGCAGTGAAAGACAAATACCATATGATTTCACCTATAAGTAGAACCTAATCAACAAAACAAATAAGCAAGCAAAATATAACCAGAGACAATGAATTAAGGAACAAATTGACAGTAACCAGAGAGGGGGGAGAGATAATGGGGAAAAAATAGGGGAAGGGCCATCGAGGAACATGTATAAAAAACAGATGGACAAAGCCAAAGGGGGTAGGTTTGAGGGTGGGAGGTAAAGATGGGTGGGGCAGGGGATGTGGTGGGGTGAAAATGGAGGCAACTGTTCTTGAACAACAATAAAAAATATAAAATAAAATAAAGAAGTTAAAGTAGCTCCCTAGGTGTTTTGGCATCATAGTATCTCTGCTGTTCTGGCCTCAGACTGGACTTCTTTATAACTTAACTGGGGAGACCAAACATCACTTGTTAAGCAGTTAAAGAGTGAGAAATAGATTAGATATTCCTACCCATAAGTGAGGCTCTGTAGTCTAGGAATCTTTTCTTTCCCCAAAAGGTTCTAATTCCACTCATTAGTCATTCATTCACTTGTTTATTCATTTATTCTACAAACATATTTAGCACTGTTAGGGTGAACAATGTAAAATTGATATTAGAATGTTTTCACTAACAAAAATGGCAAGTTCATATGGTTTAACCTAATTCAATGTCCAGGCACTATTAAACCTACTTAGGCCTTCTGCTTGTAAATGACAGTTTAGAGTTCTTGATTCCTAGAACTTCCTTTAGTCAGGATTTCTCTTAAATCTGTTATCCCCTTCAAAAGACTGGCCCTCACTTTCTAGAGTAGGATGGTCCCTATTGTCAAGACCTAGGACATCACTGAATATATGAGTCTAGAATGTGGTATATCTGAGGGTTCCACCGTCATTTTTTTGACAGTTGTTGTCCTTGCTTTTCTGAGCTTCCAAACCAATTCAAAGGATAGAAATCCAGAACTTTCTTTGTCCAACTTCAGAGACAGCATAGCAATGATGAGATCTGAGAAAATTGTTGCATGCCACCGTACTTCACCTGCAACCATACAGTAGAGAGCCTGGAAGTGGTATGTTTAAATAATAAACTAGAATCGATTTTTTCTAGAAAAGACTTAGATAAATCTAATATTCATTGAGGTAATATGAGTCCATCTCTTAGATGGAAAATGGCTTCACCTTCCTGAACAAAGGCTTTAAGAATCATTAGTGAATCTGAAAATAATGAAGAGATCCTGCCCAATTTGCCTAAAATGGCTGCTAACCATGGCACTATATTCCCTTTCACTGCCATAGTTTAAGGCAGGGTTAGAAAAGGCTTCAGATGTTCCACAACACTCTTCCCAATCCCCTTGGCGTGGAGTAACTCCAGTTCTTGTATTCAGGTATTATAGTTTCAAAGAATGGGGGAAGTGTTGGTAGCAAAAGCAAGGGTAGACTCCAGTGGATCTAGGCCCCTGCTATAGAATCTCTTCTGTGAACATAATAATGGTGTCTGGGTATCTGCATCACGCCGAGCCTCTTGTTTTAGTTGAAAGAACTTGTACTGCGTCCATCCATATACGCCACAGTTGAGCAGACCCTGGGATGATGCTGTTAGAGCCTGGAGGAGATGAAGGGGTGATGGAGCCCATCCTTCAGGCTTTCAGAGATCCAGGGAATAGTCCCTATGCCCCTATTTATAAAGCATTGTTATATTTTCTCTATCTCATACATCAAGGTCTGGCATCAGTTTTCAGTATTTTTCTAGCTCTTCCTGAAATCACTCTTCACACTGTACCTTGTCATGGATGTTTAAGAGTTGGTCATATTTCTTAGTATATACAGAAGGACAATGAAGTGGTTTCAATACCTCTCTGTACTATCTCATTTCCCAGGTTAGGTTTGAGAAAACTGCCCTATCAGCATAGTCAGATAGCCCTTCTTAAATCTGATAAAGGAGGAAAAAAGAATCATTCCATTTCTCTACTACTCCCTCCCCATTCACCTACAACAGCTAATTTATCCCATTCAGTTCACTCTGGATGGCAGACAATCAAGTCTCTATTAGTGTTTCATATGAACATTTGCTGGTAGGTCTTATTTTTTGTTTCTCACCCCTTAAAAACACGTCAATAAAATGAAGTTGACCAGATGTATATATGCTCTGAAATACATGGAAGCACTCTCACAAAAGTATCTACCTCATCTATGAGGAAAATTTTACATTCTTCATAACTAAATATAAATAACAGATTTTCTCTTTTGCAATGCAGAAATACTTTCAAGGGAAAAATTGGGCTTACAGAGTAATGGCAGTGTAAGAGAACAGGATAAGAGGGTATGAAAACAGAGATGCTGGATGTTGAAGGTGTTACCTGGAGAACATAGAGGGCCATGTGAAGTTTGGTGTCCTGTGGTTTGATCAGCTTTGTGATGACCAGAATGACAGCTGTGAAAACACAAAGTATAAATCTTACTGTCAGCCCTGGCTGCGTGAGCATAAAATTCTTCAGTATCCATGCCCAGCACTGTTAGAATGGAAGCTGGAGGCACAATGAAGACCAGCAGTGAGATTAAGCAGTTATATAAACCACTAGGACTGGGGCCTCCAACTTTACTGCTGACTGATTAAACTTTGCAGATTATTAGTGTAGCAATAATGGAAACACATACTACAGGAAGATACACTTTTTAGCATTTTAGAGTATACCAAGCTTTCATAACCATCATTCAGTCTGATCCTCGTAACTTTATGTAGCACGAAGGACAAGTATTAATATCTCTGAGTTCTGTCAGGATATTTCCTTTCACATCAGGTTGCATCTGATGTATAATTATCTTAATTTCCAAATCATAAGAAGTTAAGGAGGTTGGGGAAAACTGAAAGCATGGGTGGTACCAACTTAAATTTTACAAGCTAAACAGTAATTTGCAGTCATCCTTCTTGGTGAGACCACTTTGCTTGATCAGAACCCTGTAGTACCCTCTTCACGGCCCACCTCTTTCCATTAAGATACCCACCTGGGCCCCAGCAGCAAAAGAAGGCCACTGGGTAGAAGCGCACTCGCTGCTCCACAGTGTGAATCACTGCCCACTGTTCACTTCCCAGAAAGCCAGTTGATTTCACAAACTTCTTATACAGTGTCTGGGCTTGGATGAGTAAGACCTAGATATGGGTACAGCAGTGAGTAGTTTGCCCAAGGTTTAGTGATTTCCCAAGTCTATCCTCCTATCATTTTACAAGGATCATTCTCTTTGAATCTGACAGCAGAAAAGGCCATTCTTCTGTCTTTATGATCTGAGACTAGCCTTTTGCTGAGAAAATTATCTTCAGAATGAACCTTTTTTTTTTTGGCTAGGGAAATGGTCAGATATTGGCCAAATTTGTGGTTACCATGTTCAAAACATGAACCTTATATAAGCCTTCAGGATTTTTTTTCTCACTGATGCTGATCACAATATTCATGAGAAGTTAAAATTAAGATCTAACCAAACCCTCTTTTAAAATACTTTATTAGAGATTGTGTTAGAAAGTGTTCTATGCTTAATATCCTTGAAATAAATACTTCAGCATTGTGACTGAGCTTAAATTCTCAACTAGAAGCAAAAGAAGTCTCTTCTTGCCCTTAGATGGAAAACAGATTGCTTCCCCCCCCCTTTTTTGACACTATATAGGGTTTAGCTAGTGAAAGAAATATAAATCAGTTCAGAAGTCCAATGTGCTTTCTGTAGGGAGTAAATGAGGTAATAATCTTGGTGACAACTCTGACCAAATTTGAAGCCTTTTCCTAATAATCTAGATCCATAGTCTAAATTAGCAACTAGTTACTTAGTTAAGTTTAGTTATCTAGTTTCCTTTTCCTACAGATACAGGAATCAAAAGGAGTTTTGTACTTATTTGAGAATTGTTATGGCTAGTAGAATCAGTTAATCATCTGTTGATTAAAAGAGAACCAGAATGCTAATTCCAAATGTCTTTGAAGCTTGGCTTATTCTAAAGAAGCAAACAGGGTCAAGCAGGACTTCCGCCAAGATGGAGGCGTAGGTAGAAACACTCTGTGTCCTTGCACAACCAAATCTAAAAATAATAAAGTTTTAACAACAATAAACGCAACCAAACCACACAGAAAATCGAATCGGAGTCCAAAAACAATGAACCCTCAGCTAAACCGGTGAGGGGGCAAAGCCAGCAGCAGAGTGGGTCGGGCAAAAAAGATCCCCCGAACCAGGTGAGGGCTCGGATCCCAGGTGCAAGCTAGCTACAGGCGGAACCCAGGGAAGAGGCACAGCTGGCTGTCAGCAGTTGGTTGAGCATTTGCACACAGATAAACCAGGGAAGAGGCGAGCGTTGAGACAGATCGCGCAGGCCCCGGCAGCCAGAGCAGGGCGGTGGGCTCGCACATTTGCCCTCAGATAAGCAGGCGGGGGTGAGCAGTGAGGCAGACTGGGCTTAAGCCGGAGAGGACCGCCATTGCTCCCTCTCTGACCCCGCCCCCACATACAGCATCACAAACCAGCGACCTGGGTGGCCCCCCTGCTGAACGCCTAAGGCACCTCTCCTCATACATAACAGGCACATACAGATAAAAACATGGCTCAAGAACAACTCAGAGCCCCAGAGCCAATAAATCTAAGCAACAAAGAAATAGCCAAACTTTCAGATGTGCAGTTCAAAACACTGGTGATCAGGATGCTCACAGAACTGGTTGATTATAGTCACAAATTAAAAGAACAAATGAAGGCTAAAGTAATTGAAATGAAGGGAAACGCACAGGAAATCAATAGTAATGGAAAGGAAACTGGGACTCAAATCAAGGGAGCAGACTAGAAGGAAGGAAAAAATGACCAAACAGAAAGATATGAAGAAACAAGAATTCAAAAAAATGAGGAGAGGCTTAGGAACCTCCAGGACATCTTTAAACGCTCCAACATCCAAATTATAGGGGTACCAGAAGGGGGAAAGGAACAGCCACCAGTGGAAAACTTATTTGAACAAATAATAAAGGAGAATTTCCCCAATCTGGCAAAGGAAATAGACTTCCAGGAAGCTCAGAGAGTCCCAAAGAACTTGGACCCAAGAAGGAACACACCAAGGCACATCATCATTACATTAGCCAAGATTAAAATGAAGGAGAGAATCCTAGAAGCAGCAAGAGATAAGGGGACAGTCACCTACAAAGGAGTCCCCATCAGACTGTCAGCAGATTTCTCAAAAGAGACCTTACAGGAAAGAAGGGGCTGGAAAGAAGTATTCCAAGTCATGAAAACCAAAGACCTACAACCAAGATTGCTCTACCCAGCAAAGCTTTCATTTAGAATGGAAGGACAGATAAAGTGCTTCTCAGATAAGATCAAATTCAAGGAGTTCATCATCACCAAGCCCTTATTATATGAAATGTTAAAGGGACTTATCTAAGAAAAAGAAGATAAAAAAGATGAACAGTGAAAGGACAACAAACTCACAGTTATCAACAACCACACCTAAAACAAAAGCAAACTAAGAGGACAGCTAGATCAGGAGTGAACCATAGAAATAGAGATCTCATGGAGGGTTAGCAACAAGGGAGTGGGAGAAGGAGAAGGGGGGAGAAGGTACAGAAAATAAGTAGCACAGATGGTAGGTAGAAAATAGATGGGGGGAAGGTAAGAATAGTAGGGGAAATACAGAATCTAAAGAACTTGAGACACGTGTTCATGAACTAAAGGGGGGTGGTGGGGGAGGGGTGTGCAGGGTGAAGGGGAATGGGGGGAAATAGAACAAATGTAATGGCATAATCAATAAAATTTTAAAAAATAAAGAAGCAAACAGGAATCCCCAGGGTGCCAAGTTACCTGTCTCTCTTGTCAATCAGTTCTAAATATAAGCCATCAAAGCCATTTTATTATAAAATAATCACTGTGTACTCTTTACAAAGTTGCTGATTTGAGCTACACTATCTCCATAACTTATATTTGAATTGTCAAAGGAAGTTGTTCATAATATATTTGGTTCAAGTATGCTAGGTGTGCTATGAAACAAAACATATTTGTGGGACAGATTCGGTCTGTAGGTAGGTAGTTTATAATCCCTGAGCTAGTATCTGAAGATAGGAGAAGATTCTGAAAAATAGATAGGGCAAATTAGAAGGTGTATTTGCTTGCTCACTGATTTTGTACTAGGCAGTTATATATAAGTAATATATTGTCCCATTGCTGATTATTTTACTTGTGTATTGCTCTGGTGATGTCAGATGAGTATTTAATAACTGCCTGAGTTACTTAGCAGCTTAACATCAGTTAGACATAACATAAATGCAGATTTATAGCTAATAAAAAATTGAGAAAGAAAAACTCTTTAATTATTTGGAAAATTAAACCAAAGCTCATGTCCTATGTTCCAGAGTGTCATTCTATATAAAGGAAATATTTGACACATACTAGTTTTCTGCTCTGCTCCTCAAGAGGATCCACAAGAACATATATTACTAGTTCAGAATGAGGATAATTTCCACAGAATGAATACAGGCTCTTTTTCCCACTCATCATTTGATCTTGGGAAGTCCAAAAGGCTGAAGGAGTAATTAAATTGTCTGTATCTCCTAGCCGCTTTCTTAATCCAGGACTATAGAAAGCAACTCTTGACCTCATCTTTCTCATGCCTTGGAAGTACTACTCCATCCCTCCAAATTCCAGCTTCTTTCATGTAAGGTGGCACCATACCATGATGATGAAGAGGCTGAGTAGAAAGCTGCCCAGGAAAATGGTGAGCCCATAAAAATAAAGTGTGCCACAGACTGATGTGTTGGCAGAAGGCAGGAGTTCAGCCATGGCTGATGGTGGTGAGTGCATCAGGATACACCTAGGAAGAGAATCAATGGACAAGAGTACTGCTACAGATATGAAACTACAGAGACACCTATCAGTGCAACAGAAGTTCATGGGTATGCAATTTTACTTATCCTTTTGCTAAACCTTGTCCATAACAATTTGTTCCTTCTCATAGATACATTATCTTCTAGCAATTTTGTGTTATATTTCCACTTATGTTATCTTCAGCCTTGACTACATGTTATTCCATAGCCCATTTTGAATATGAGCACCTTGGCTAGAATGTATATAAAAAGTCTTCTTCCATCTCTATTTACAGAAAAGAATAGGTGTTGATTGACTACCATAAAAATGGTAGATTTGGTCATTACTCACCTGTGGCTCTGGCTAAAGTTGCGAAAACATTCACTGACATTGCCCAAACAGAATACAGGTATCATCAATAGTAGAGGTATCAGGCTGGGAGAAAAAGAAGACTTATCACCCTAATATTATAAGGACTTTTTCATCCCCTCTTCCATTTGCAAAATATTCCCTTTTCTTCTCCCACCTCCATCACCCCACCAACTCTCCACTGATACACATACACATTTAATTTCTCCAAGAAAAAATACCTCAAAAACCTTAAATATTCCTTCTTTTCCAATTTCTGTGGAAGTGAAGTGAGCAATGCATTTTTTTGTGAGGATACATCTTATAAGTAGGGTAACGGGCCCTAAAAAAGTTTCATAAAGAGTCTCTGGGAGTCCTGGCTTGTGTGGCTCAGTGGACTAAGCATCAGCCTGTGATGCCCAGTCAGAGCACATGCCTGGGTTGCAGGCAAGTCCCAAGATGGGGGCATGCAACCAATCGATGTTTCTCTCCTCCCTTCTCCTCTCTCTAAAAAAAAATAAATAAAATATTTAAAGAAAAAGAGTCTCTGAGAGTTGTGTGGTCAGATAAAAATCCAAGTGGGTCAAAGTGGAGGAAAAAAATTTAACAAGGAGCTCTGTGCTCGGCTCAGTCTGTTTCACTTTCCATGGTGACCAGAAATAACTTCATTCTCATAAACCCCTTCCTGGGAGCTTTTCCAAAGTATACCTTCAATATTTTATTTATTTATGTTTCAGGTTGGTGCTCAATCCACTGAGCCACACCAGCCAGGGCTCCAAAGTATACCTTTAAATAACCAATTACTTATCCAGAGGGAAAGATCCAAGAGTAAAAATTATAAAATCTAAAACCAACTCTGTAGTAACCACTTAAATAAGATACAGACCCTTTCTGGGCTCAAGAATTTAAAGAGTCTCACCCAATTTTATGAAGTTGATGAGATCTTGAAAGCCACCTATTACAACTTTTATGATAATTGAAAAGGAATTAGAAGTCCAAAGACTTAAAGAGACATATTTGAAGGTCGCATGGTGTTGATAGCAGGATTGAGGCTAAAACCCAAATCTGTATCTTCAAACTGTTTGCCTGTCCTGTCTGAGAAAATGGAACCTAAGATTACATATTTGTTGCTTCCTACTCAGTAAGGTTCTGTGAGGGTCTAGGGAAGACAGACTGCATGGAAATAAAGAACAATGTTCTCCTACTTTTTCCCACCTAGACCCCAGAATAACGACAGTCCATACCTTGGCAGGAAAGAAAACAAAAATCTTACCTTGACAAAATGATGGCTATCCGACCAACTTGACAAGTATTACCTATAAACTATGAAAAGAATAAATGTGAGTCATGTCCTAGGATACTACCAATCATATTATAATAAACCCCAGGTCATCATTTACCATTTGACAGAACAAAAGTCTCAAGAGTCAGTTTACTTCAGTTAAGCAATATTTGCTATAAAGTTCAATGAAATAGTCCCTTAGCTTTGAAGATAAGAGAATTTTATCCATATTACTATATTATTAAAAAGACAACAGCCACAAAGAGACCTTCAGGAAATAGCTTAATATAAGATTTGGATACCAGAACAAATTCTTTTAAAAAGAAAGGCAAATGTAAAATCGCACAATGTCCCATGTTCTAAAAACAGTTCAATTCTCTTTTATGTCCAGGGAGATGTGGGCTTTTCATTCCATAGGGGTGGAGTGGAAGTCTATGTATGAGATGACCCACAGAGAACATAATAAGCCAGGGTTAGTGTAATAAGGACAGGGTCAAATAAACCCTTTGGATTTTAAGCCCTTCAAGACTTGTTAGATTCTAGAAGAAAGAACATTTAAAAAATCTCCAGTTGTGTTAGACACTGTAAAACAAACAACCCAAGAATGGTTCCTACCCATTAGGAATTTATGGTGAAAGATTTTGAACAGAACACCTTAAAGAGATAACAGAATAGAAAGCAAGTGTTTTTTCTATTTTAAGACAGAAATCATATCAAATGGCACTGTTAGGAATCAAAAAGCATTAAGTGAGCAATTAATCAATAATCAGAGATGGGTAACTGATTTGCCTTAAAAACTTTGAATTAAGAATAGCGAATAATTTCAAGGTGAATAGCTAGTGCTGACTTAAGATAAAATGAAAAAGAATAAAAATTAGTCTTTGGTGACTCCTACCCACATCCCTTCTTCTCTTTGTATTCTATCCTATGTCCATTGGGTGGCTATCCTGTGTTTAACTCTTGTTCATACCTGGGTATCAGTGAATCTCTGATAAAAAGCTCACTGATAAAAGTTTAGGGCAGAAGTCTTGCTATGGTGTTTAAAAGAGAACTCAAACATTAAAAAAAATTCAAGGCTCCTGGTATAAACTATAATGACAGAATAATAGGCAGTGGGCTTAAGTTTTTTGGCCAGAGTTTGTCTCTTGGAACTAGTGTTAGAGCATGTGTTACATAAAGAAAAGTACATTATGTACACTTGTATTAATGTAAAGCAGAATATCATATATGACAATTAATCTTATGTTTCTCCCTCCCTTTTCTTCAAAAATTAATTTGTTCTCCTGCCAGGAGTCCAAGCCTAAGAAGATAATGTTCTCTTATGTTGTCCCCATCCCTGGCGTCTGGTCTCATTGTGGCAACTTCTTTAGGGAATAACTGTGGCAGAAAAACCTCTCCCAAATTCTACTCAGTCTCTTAGCTTGTGAGTGAATTAATGAATTAGAAACTTGAACTACTACCCCTAAAACACCGCTGAACTTCTTAAACATTCATCTGCCTGAAGGAAGGAAAATGAGTTTCTTTGAATTACCTTCCAGCTATAGGATTCTAGGATTACAAAGATGAACATTAAAAAGATATACAGCTATAAGCATGGGTTATTTCTAAATTGTAGGGAGTCAAGAGATTATACAAATTTAAAATACAGAAGAGTAAATATATGTGTTGATTCTACAGATGTAAACAAGAGAAAGGGCACCAGAATATAGTCCTATGCTTTTCAATACAATATAATTAAATTAAGATTTAACACAATTTAAAATGCAGTTTCTCAATCACACCAGCCACACTTAAAGTGCTCAATAAGAGTACGTAAAACACTGGATCACTGCGAACAATTTTACTGAGTGCTTATACAGACTGCAACGTCTTGTCTAGTATGCTGCATAAGAGGTCTCTGCAGGTTATCTTTCCCAATGATTTCCCCACCACCCTTTCTCCTTACAGTAAAAAGAGAAAAGTCTTAAGAGCATTCTATGTCTTTGAGCTTCTCCAGCAGTGTGTATCTACAACAAGGCTACAAAAGCAGTTCTCTTCAGAAGAATATCTTTTTGAGTCAGTCTGTCAGATTAGGATTTGAGTATCATAGCGTTTTAAAGTTAGAAGGGACATTAAAGATCACATAGACCAATGCACCATTTTATGATGAAAACAGAGGTCCAAGAAAGGGAGATGCTATGCTTCAGGTCCTGCAGGAGATCAGTGACCGACCTGGGTCTAGAAGACAGATCTCCTGATTCACCTTCAAATGCTCTGTTCATGATACTATAGTACTATTTATTTATTCAAGAAATATTAAGTTTCACCATGTGCATGACAGTATACCACTTTGTCACAGAACTGATCTGTAGGCTCTAGAGAAAGATATACTGGGAAGCATCCATGATTCATTTACTCCATGGAACCCTTAAGAAACATCCCCTTCAAACAACCATGACAAAATGAATGCTGTAGAAATAAGAAGATTGGAATATTTAGTAAAATATGTATAATAATATTTAAATATATAATGACATTTAAATAAATGAAAATTGATAACATCATAAAAATGTCTTCTGCTAAGATCACATAATGATATAAGTTAGAAATAAGAAACAAAGTGTACTATACAATGGAATACTATTTAGCAACAAAAAGGAATGATTTACTTATACAATGCTACAATGGATATACTTCAAAAGCATTATGCTAAGTGAAATAAACCAGACACAAGAGCTTATATATTATATGATTCCATCTATAGAAAATGTCCAGAAAAGGAAAATCTATAGAGACAGAAAGTAGATTAGTGGTTGCTTAGTACAGAGGGCTGGACAGGGATTAACAGTAATGGGCATAAAATATTTTATTGGGGTGAAAAAATGTTCTGAAACTGTTTTATAATAATGCCTATACAATCTAAGTTTATTTTTTATTTTTTAATTGAATTTATTGAATGGGGTAGCATTGTTAGTAAAGTTATGCAGGTTTCAAAGGTACAATTCTATACCAATATCATCTGTATATCGTATTGTGTGTTCACCACCCAAAGTCAGTCAAGTCTCCTTCTATCACCACTTATCCTTCCTTGACCCTCTCCTACATCCCACCCCCACCCCCGCTTCCCTCTGGTAATCACCATACTGTTGTCTGACTATGAGAGTTTTTTCCCTTAATTCCTTCACCTTTTGATAAGTTTACTTTAAAAATCACTGAATTGTATACTTAAAGTAAATTATGTAATATGTAAAATATGTGTACACACAAAGAGTCCAGAGGTAATGACCTAGTGTTCTTCTTTCTTGCATAATTGTAATTCTAGATGGTACCCAAAACTCTTTGTGAACCAAAGAAGGAAAGACAACTAACTACTCCCTGGGTTCATCTTGTTTTCTGATTACCACACATTAATTCCTCTGCCCTTCTGTGAACTAGTATCTGTTGCCCACCATACTGAAGAAATATGACAGAGCAGAACAAACTCTCTCCCTTTCCAGGACCTGTAGTTCAAATCCCAGGTTACCAAACTGAACACTTTCCCAGACTCTTCACCAAGATCTTGTTCATTAGCAACAATGACAGACTGGCATAGAGCCGAGGAGGATTATTTCCTTTACTGAATACAATCCAGCAGGAATGGCAGCACTGTACATAATGTTCCCTATAATCTAATGCAGTCCTTTTTTTTCCTGTGGCTTGAGAGAAGAGGAAATCATGTCAACAGAATAGAAAACTCAGTGAAAACATGGTTTTTCTTTTATTAACCTCCATGAGTTCACCTAGACAGTGCTGAGTGCTTATACTGTTTATCAAGGATATGTGGGTTTGTTTTAGCATACTACTCTTAACTCTTAGCTCTAAATAACACTTACCAGGAAAAATGTGCTCTGTCCACTCTGGACGTGTTTCATCCTCAGCTCTCTGTACAGATACCAAATGTAATTGACGGTGTAGAGAAATGAGGAAATGTAGAATATCTAGGCGAAAATCAAAACATCCCATCATAACTGCCCCACTCTGACTTCCCTTGATATATTCCATTATTTTCTTTCTTTTTTTTTAAAGTTATTTTTTTAAGATTTTATTTATTTATCTTTAGAGGGGAAGGGGGGAAGGAGAGAGGGAGAGGAACATCAATGTATGGTTGCCTTTCATGCGTCCCCTGCTGGGAACTGGCCTGCAGGGAACCGGCCTGCAACCCAAGCATGTGCCCTGACTGGGAATCAAACCGTGATCGTGTGGTTCGCAGGCCTGTGCTCAATCCACTGAGCTACACCAGCCAGGGCCCCATTATTTTCTACTATAGGAATCCTACCTGCTGTTCTATTAGCAACTTACCATCTGTATCCATACCACATTAAAAATGGAAATTTTACCCAGGCCTACCTAAAACATGTCTCAGCTTCCTTATTTTATCCTTCTAGCTGTTCAGAGGAACCACAGCATTATCCAACTCCCCTCACCTAACCTCTCCACTTTTATAAAGATACCATAGAATCTTCTTCTATTTTATTTTCTTACTTGAAAATACCATATGGATTTCCATTTCTATTTTTTGTTAAATTTATTGAGGTGACACTGGTTAATAATATTATATAGGTTTTGAGCTCTGGCCAAGATGGAGGCATAGGTAGAAACCCTTTGCTTCCTTGCACAACCAAAAGGAGGATAACAACCAATCTGAAATCAATAAACCACCAGAAGTGCCAAGAAATCAAACTGCATGGAACTCTGACAACCAAGGAATTAAAGAAAAAATCAACCAGAACAACCAGACTGGTAACAACCCCCGGTGAGGTGGTGGACTGCATGGGCGGGGTTGGCTGAGAAAAACCGTGGGGAGGCAGAAGACTGTGCAGGTGGGGATGGCTGAAGGTGAAACTGAGACCTGGAGCTGACTGTGCACTACCACAGTTGCCACAGTGGGAGAAACTCCCAGTCTCAAACCACAGTTCATTGGAAAGTGGGCTAGAGTTGAGCAGGAGAGCTGCATTGTTCCCTCTCTGGCCCCTCCCCCACAGGCAGCACCACAGCTGCAGCAAAGAGGGTTGCCCTGCCCAGATGAATACCTAAGGCTCTGCCCCCTTACAACTTAACAGGTGTTCTGAGACAAAAAAAAAAATATATGGCTGAAATGAAAGAACAAAGCAAAACTTCACAGAGCTAAGTGATGAGGAGATAGCCAACCTATCTGATGCAGAGTTTAAAGCCCTAGTAATCAAAGTGCTCACAGAATTGATTGAGCTTAACCTAAAAATGAAGAAACAAATGAAAGATACCCAAAATGAAATAAAGCAAAATATTCAGGGAACCAACAGTGACAGGAAGGAAACCAGGACTCAAAGCAATGATTGGAACAAAAGGGAAAAATAAACAATCAACCAGAACAGAATGAAGAAACAAGAATTCAAAAAAGTGAAGAGAGACATATGAACCTTTGGGAAAACCTGAAACGTTCCAATATCCAAATTATAGGGGTGCCAGAAGGAGAAGAACAAGAGCAAGAAATTGAAACTTATTTGAACAAATAATGAAGGAAAACGTCCCCAATCTGGGGAAGGAAATAGACTTCCAGGAACTCCAGGAAGCTCAGAGAGTCCCAAAGAAGTTGGATCCAAGGAGGAACACACCAAGGCACATCATCATTAAGTTACCCAAGATTAAAGATAAGGAGAGAATCTTAAAAGCATCAAGAGAAAAGGAGACAGTTACCTACAAAGGAGTTCCCGTAAGACCATCAGTTGATTTCTCAAAAGAAACCTTTAAGGCAAGAAGCGGCTAGAGAGAAGTATTCAAAGTCATGAAAGGCAAGGACCTAGATACTCCAAGGTTACTCTATCCAGCAAAGCTTTCCTTTAGAATGAAAGGGCAAATAAAGTGCTTCCCAGATAAGGTTAAGTTAAAGGAGTTCATCACCAAGCCATTATTATATGAAATGTTAAAGGGACTTATCTAAGAAAAGAAAGGTCAAAAATATGATGATTAATGGAGAGGTTGTGGAGAAAAGGGGACCCTAGCACACTGTTGGTGGGACTGCAAACTAGTACAACCACTGTGGGAAACAGTATGGAATTTTCTTAGAAAACTAAAATGGATCTGCCTTTTGACCCAGCAATTCCACTGCTGGGATTATACCCTAAGAACCCTGAAACACCAATCCAAAAGAACCTATGCACCCCAATGTTCATAGAAGCACAATTTACAATAGCCAAGTGCTGGAAGCAGCCTAGGTGCTCATCAGTAAATGAATGGATCAAAAAACTATGGTACATTTACACAATGGAATTCTATGCAGCAGAAAGAAAGAAGGAGCTCCTACCCTTTACAACAGCATGGATAAAACCGGAAAGCATTATGCTGAGTGAAATAAGCCAGGCAGTGAAAGACAAATACCATATGATCTCCCATTTAACAGAAACCTAAACTACAAAATAAACAAGCAAGCAAAATATAACCAAAGACACTGAAATAGAGAACAGGCTGACAGTGACCAGAGCGGAGAGGGGAGGGAATTTCAGGGGAAAAGGGGAAGAGTTTACAGGAACAAGTAATAAAGGACACATGGACAAAAACAAAGGGGGGTGGAAATGGGAGGAAGGGGGGAACATTGCCAGGGGTGGGCTGGGATGGGAGTAAAAGACAGAAAACTGTATTTGAACAATTGAAATAAATTAAAAAAATAAATGGTGAAGTAGAAAAAAATAAAATAAAATAAAATTGTTGCCAAAAAAACTAGAAAATCCTGCCATTTGCGACAGCATGGATGGACCCTGAGAATATTCAGACAGAGAAACACATACTGTATGACCTCACTTGTATACTGAATCTTAAAAAAAAAAACTTGTAGAAAAAGAGGTCAGATTTTTGGTTACCCAAAGTGAGGAAATGGGGAGGGGAAGTTGGAGGAAGGTGTCAAAAGGTATAAACTTCCGGTTACAAGATAGATATGTACTATGCACATAGTGACAAAATGACAACTGCAGTTACCAAGTTATATGAGTTACTAGGAGAGTAGACCCTGAGTTCTCTTCACAAAACAACATTTTTTCTTTTTTTTGTATCTATATGAGGTTATGGATGTTAACTAAATTTTTTATAGTAATTATTTCACTATACATGTGAATCAAATCATTGTACTGTATACCTTAAACCTACACAGTGATTTATGTCAGTTATATCTCAATAAAACTGGAAAAGTTTGTTAAAAAGAACCCACAAAAATATGAAGAGTAACATGATAGCAGTCTCACAACTATTAACAAATGAACCAAAAAAAGAAAGAAAAACAACAAAAACTAATCAAACAACTAAAATAGAAACAGAATCAAAGAAATGGACATCACATGGAGGGTTTTCAGTGGGGAGGAGAGGAATACGGGGAAAAAGGTACAGGGAAGAAGAAGCATAATTGGTGGGCATTAAATAGACAGGGAGAGGTAAAGAATGGTATAGAAACAGAGGACTCAAAGAACTTATATGTACAACCCATGGACATGAACTAAGGTGGGAGGAATGCTGGAGGGTTGGGGATACAGGGCGGAGGGGGAATAAAGGAAAGCTGTAACAGCATAATCAATAAAAAACACTTTAAAAGATTATATAGGTTTCCAATGCACATCTCTATGATACATGATCTGTGTATTGCATTGTGTTCCCACCACCAAAATCAGATCATTTTCTGTCACCATATATTTGATCTCTTTTACCCTCTACTACCCACCCCATCCCCTTCCCTCTGGCGACCATCACACCGTTTGTCTATGAGTTTGTGTTTGTTTTTCTTGTTTATTCATTTGTTGATTTCAGTTTTAAATGAGCAAAGGACCTGAACAGACACTTCTCCCAAGAAGATATACAAATGACCAACAGATATATGAAAAAATACTCAACTTCCCTAGCTATCAGGGAAATGCAAATCAAAACTCTAATGAGATGCCACCTCCTACCTGTTAGAACAGCTTTTATCAACAAGATAAGTAATAACAAGTGTTGGAGAGGTTGTGAAGAAAAAGGAATCCTCATTTACTGCTGGTGGGAATGTAAACTGGTACAGCCACTATGGAAAACAGTATGGTAGTTCCTCAGAAAATTAAGAATACAGTTACCATGTGATATTTCTTGTAGCATTATTCACAGTGGCTGAGTGGAAGGATTTCTACTTCCAATAATGCTAGCCTAGGCTATTCAAAAGGTTGGTTCAAACCAACCTTTCCATTCAAAAGAACTAAACATGCTAAATGCTACTGGGGCTTTCTATTTATCACTGGTTTTAGTAATTTGCTGACGATGTGCCTTGGTGTGCTTCCTCTTTCTTTCTTTCTTTTTCTTTCTTTCTTTCTTTCTTTCTTTCTTTCTTTCTTTCTTTCTTTCTTTCTTTCTTTCTTTCTTTCTTTTTTTCATATAATAAAATGTAATTGTTTTTATTGTTTATTAATTTAGTTTTTCAACTACAGTTGACATTCAATATTATATTATTTCAGGTGTACAGCATAGTGGTTGTACGTTTGTTTTGCTTGGTTTTATTAAGCTTCACGTATATGATGGTTTATATTTTCAAATTTGGAAAATTTTTGTTATTATTTATTCAAACATATTTATCAAATAACTGAGTTCCTTTATCCAACATTTGAGACAAATGATGGTTTATAGAAGGAAGTAACATCCCAGAAGTTACATGTCCCTCCAACATTGGAAGTAAGAGACAGGCTGCCTGAGACAGTGTCTGGTACTGTCATTTTTCCTTTTCTTTTTTCTCCACAGTAGTTATCACTGATAAAGAGTAATATTTGCACAACAATACTCCTGGACCCTTTTGGGAAAAGCATTAGATTTATTTCTGATCCCAAAATTGATGTGGAGACAGTCATATATGACCAAATCAATTCTTTCAGTACAGAGCTAGTTGTCTAATAGAACTAAAGATCTCAGCATTGTAGACCATGGATCAGATTCCATTTTTCGGAGCCAGGTGCTACAG